GCAATCCATTTGGTACAAATCGTTTCGATCGCAATAGGTATATAGGGAATGTAAGTAAGTACCTAGTACTTCGACCTTCATCTTTCTTTCTTGGCAAACGTATAAATTTATCTGTCTTACTGTACAACAAGACACGTAGGGGGTAGAAAGGGTGTTAAGGAGGGGGGGAAAGAGAATCGCGGCTTTGGAATTTATCGAAGTTACATTCGCATTTTCCACGTGCCTTGTATCTTTCTATGGATCGTGCGTTACCTTTCAACACCTATAGATATGTAGGTATATATAATACACATGATTCATGTATGTATGTATATGTTATATCTAATAATATTGTTCATAACTATAGTTATAGTGGTTGCGAATTTTGGGGGTTTTTTTTTTTTGTTAAGATTTACTAAAAAGTACTTTTTTTTTTTTTTTGTAAAAATGTGACACACGTATGATTTTATAGTTTTAATTATAAGTGCTAGATTGTACAAATTGAAAGTTGCATCTAATATATATATATAGTTATATTATAACTAACTTAGTTAGTATTTAGAAATCTACATAACCTTTAAATAGTAAATCAATTATAAGTTAGTTATAATATATAACTTAACTTATTATATTATATTAAGTTAATTATAATATAACTTAACTTATAATTGATTTACTATTTAAAAGTTATGTAGATTTCTAAATACTGTAAATATTAAATAAATGGTGGAGTATTACAATTCAATTATTCCAATTTACATACGACATAACCTTACTTTATTTATTTTACGTTATATTATAATTTACTAAATACTTTCGAATTATATTAAATCAACATTTGATAACATAGCATCTTAGTAATATTATATACTAAATATATAATAATTAATAAATATCTACAAACAAAATTACAAAACCTTTTTCTATTTTTTTAATATCTAAAATAACTTCGCAAAAGCCATTTATTTCAAAGAAAATTCATTTAAAACCTTCAATTGAAAATAATTGCATATAAATAATCTCTCGATCGTATACTTCAAAGATTAATTATTATTCTCGACATGATATAAAGAAATAAAATAAAATAAAATAAAATAAAATAAAAAAAATTAACTTGATATAGTAGATAGACTACTAGTATCGATTACCTTCAACATCCCGTTTGGTATTAGTGCAGTAGACCTCTTTCTATGTCTACGTATGCGTCTCTCTCTCTCTCTCTCTTTCTCTCTCTCTCTCTCTCTCTCGTCCGCGTTGCAGTCATTCTTATCGATTGAAACACGGGGATGCACTTTGGGCCTCGTACAAGTGGGGCTGGTTAGAAGATACGAGGAGGGTAACGCGATGGGAATTAATGCAAAGAATGACTAAGCACGTGATCTAACTCGAAATCCCCCACTCTCACTTCTACTCCATCCCCTCCCCTTCTTCTTATCCAAAAGATAGGAAGAGGAGGAGGGAGCCAATTAATGTCGTTGTTGAATTTTCCTGTGTTTTCTCGACAATTTTTTGTCTTCTTTTTTATCGAACGGGCCCAATGATGCAATTATTGCTTTTTTTTTCTTTTTCTTAAATATTATTTAGTTATTTAGTTGTTGTTATGACTAATTTTTTTGCAATTATTTTAAAAAACAATTTTTCTTGTTTCTTTGACTATGTCAAATAAAAAATATCTATTAATGCAGAGAATGACCAAGCACGTGATCTAACTCTGAACCCCCCACTCCTACTCAATCCATCCCCTCCCCTTGTTCTTGTCTGAAAGATGGGAGGGGAGCCAATTAATGCCGTTGCTGAATTCTCCTGTGTTTTCTGGACAATTTCTTTTTCTTCTTTTTTATTTAACGGGCCCAAGGATGCAATTATTACTTTTTTTTTTCTTAAATATTATTTAGAATATTATTTAGTTATTTAGTTGTTGTTGTTGTTGTTATGATTAATTTTCTCGCAATTACTTTTTAAAACATTTCTCTTGTTTGTTTGATTATGTCAAAWAAAAAAAAAAAAAAAAAATATCTAACATAAGTGATATTTATCTAATATCTTTTACGTTTAGACTCGTCCTCGATTCAAATATCATTTCGTTAGCCTTTATCCAACCACCATTACCACCACCACCACCATCACCACGACCTTCATCACTCGATATTTCCCGTAATTTTATACGGTCGCACCGGTGCAACATCGTAACGTCGATTCCTTTTCTCGAACGATCGAGATATACATACACATATACACATATACACATGTACACACACAGATACAAAATTTTCTCTACATATTTCTATATGTATTGCAATATCTGTGCATAAATATACTATATACACATATATAAATGTAAAGTAAATATATTTATATACAATGATGTTGGTATATAAGTAGTAATAATAGTAGTAGTAAATACATAGTAGTAGTAGTAGTAGTAGTAGTAAAATAAGAAAAATGAGAATAAAAAGTTGGTTGTTGCACGGAATGCGGGATCTTACTTTGCGCGATGCGTAGTAACGATTTTAATCTGCGCAAGGATGATCGCAGTCTTTCTCGAGAACGTATTCTCGACTGGAAAGAAGATGGTAATAAAGAAAATGGTAGAAGAAAAAAAAATGAAAAAAAAAAAAAATAATAATAATAAACAAAAAACAAAAAGAAATTGAGAGAACGTAGAAGAAGAAGAAGAAGACGAAGAAGACGAAGAAGACGAATAAAGCGAATGAACGAACGAATGAATGTGTCTGTGTCTGTGTTTGTATCTGAATCAGTAAGTTTGTATATGAATATAGTATATATATATATATGTGTGTGTGTATGTGTGTATGAGAAAGATAGAATGAGAAGGAACGTACATACACGCCCCTTCGTCACGGAGAGCAGGAAAGAGTCGCGGTCAATGGCTGCGGTATCCGCAGGTTCAAGGAAAGCGGGCTGGTCCGATTCGACACCCGTGTTGTTCCAAGGAAACTTGAACAGGTGTGACGGTGGCTCGTGAAAATGCAGGTTAATAGAGAATTGACTTACATTAGAGAGATTATCAAAGAAAATTCTTCTACTTTATAATTGATTTTTCAAGTATTTCATCTAACTTGTAACTACACGTAACACAAAGTTAACTTTCTTATCATCTTCATTCACTTAGTTTTGTTGTTTAGGTCGTATCGTATATTAGGTTGTCTCAAAACTTTCTTTTCTTTTCTTTTCTTTTTTTTAAATAATTCTATGAAGCACAATTAGTTTCTAGGTTGAATAATTGAAAATATATAAAAAGGTAAAATAAAATAGAATCGATATTATTTAATAAAATAATGTAAAATATATAAAAAAAAAAGAAAGGTTTATAAAATATTATAAAATGTTAATAAATATAGTAAAATATTAAAAATATTTAAAAAAAAAAATGTTAGAAAATATTCTTGTGCAATTTATCATCAAGAAAAAGGAGCAGAAATTTTCGAAACAACCTCAAATAATTCTACTCAAAATTGGATATCATCAAAACTATTCTACAATTACACGTGTAAATATTATTTCAAATCTATACAAATAAAATGAGATACATATATGTATTATATACACATATGTAGGTATGTATGTTATCATGACGATGACGATGACGATGATGTGTGGATATAGGTGTTATTTGCGTATTAGTCGCATTTCACGAGGCACGCTGTGCAAACGAGGGCGGTGACTCTGAAAAACGAGAGAGGAGAGCAGGAGGATTGAACGAGCCACTTGTCCCGACAATGCCGAGAGACCTTTATGAACGGATAAACGCGATTTAAGGGAAGATTTGAAATAATAACGAGTCAAGAAAATAATAAATAAAAAAAGAAACTTAGAAAAAGGACTTACAAATCTTTTCGTTTCATCGTCACGAAAAGTGAAGGGGTGGGGATAAGAAAAAAAGGTTTATGTTAATTCAATTAAAACAACAACACAAACAAACAAACAACAACAGAAACAACAGCAAAAACAAAACCAGAAACAACAACAAATTAAGATTTTGATGAAGAAAAGGGGTGAAGAAATAAAACAGAAAACGTTTCGTTTCATCGTCACGAAAAGTGAAGGGGTAGGAATACAAAATTTTTCTGTTACTTTCATTAAAACAACAACAGAAACAACAACAAATTGGTGATGAAAATTTTGTTGAAGAAAAGTGGAGTTGAGGATTAAAACAGGGAACGTTACGTTTCATCGTCACGATAAGTTTTATGTTATTTTCGATTAAAACAACAACAAGAAGAATAAATTAGGATTTTGATGAAGAAAAAGGGGTGAAGAAATAAAACAGGAAACGTGTACGAATTTATGGCGCACGCACTTTCAAAGAAAGGGTCCCATACCCACACACACACACACGCACATATATACATACAGACACATGGAAGAAGATACACAACAACACACCATATAGAAACGTACGTGAGGTTCATTATCGACCGCGTATCGCTCACATGGAAACAAAATACGCGAACTTTATTCTCTTCCTCGTTCCGTTCACGTTTTGTCATCTTCAATGTTAAGTGAAAAAAATATAATAATAACAATAACAAAAATATATACTATATATATATAATCACACATGTGTTTATAACACACTTGAGATGCAAGTGAATCGTAAACGGAAAAGAATACATCGACAACATTTCTTATTATTTTCTGTATAAATATTTTTCTACAGTGTGTCAACTGTGAACTGGTACCGCCAAAAGGTGCATAACTCTGCATAGCAACAAACAAATAACGTGTTCATTACCAGCATCCATTTTTTTTTCTTTTATTTACGATCGTATCAGACGATTTCAACAAAAAAAAAAAAATGATTTGAATGATAGATAATTTTGTAAAAAAAATAAAATATAGAAAAGGGGGTGTAGAGAGTGAAGTAAATGTTTTGGGGCGCGGACAAGGAACAGGAAGGAAGCCATAGGGAAACAGAAACAGAAAGAGAGAAAGAGAGAGAAAGAGAGAGAGAGAGAGAGAAATAGAGTAGTTATCGATCTAACTGAGAGTTCCCATACCGGTGCATGAAGGCGGCAGTAGACATGTTACTATCCATGGGGTAGTTCCATATATATCCTTGTGGCCCTGGAGCACGCCCTTGTTAACACTCCTCTCTCAGCAGAAGACAGAAGTAGAAGAAAGTAGCAGTGTGGTAGAAAAGATTATTAACCAAATGTTTTTCTATTTTTTGTTTTTTTCTTTCTATTTATGTGAGAAGGAGAGAAACACACAGATGGAAAATTCTCTCCACTCACAAAACAAATATTATTTATATGTCTATTGTTATTAATTATTAAAAGGGTTCACTTTGAATTAATAAATTGTTCGATCGATGATGATTTAAATTGTTCATAAAGTTCAACCAACTCGATAAACTAAAACATAAACATAAACACCGTAATTCGATGGGATTTGTTTAAATTAACACGTTTGAACAAATACAAAAATATGATCTGATATTTTAAATAAATGAATGAACATGAAGATGAACAAAATTGTTATATTTATGAAAGCATGGGCACCGAAGACACCTGCTGAACACGACTTGACAGGTTGAAACCGTCGGCTGGACTGAAGTCAGAATGCGCATTCGTCGTCGTTCGTAGTCGTCGTCGTCGTCTGGTTGGTTTCCATGGTGGTGGCAATGGTGGCCTCCTGCCGGTGCCACCGCCACTAGAACTGCTGCTGCTGTTGCTGGTAGAGGTGGAGGTGGAGGTGGAGGTGAAGGTGGAAGAGAAGGAAGAGAAGGTGGAGGAGGAAGAGTCAGAGTCTGTTTTAGTTGTGGTAGTAGTAGTAGTAACGATACCGATATTGTTAATGTTAGAGTTGATGATGGTGTGTTGGTATTTTGGTATTGGTAGTAGTGAAGGAGGTATTCGGTAGCGATGGCAGAAATTCTGATGGTGGGGGAATTGACAGAACCGTCTGCCTGGCACTCTGCCGCGTTTGCAATCAGACACCCGCGCAAGCCTTAAGGTTCGTTGCTGATGTATGAATAGAAAGAGAAAGATAAAAAAAGAAAAAGAAAGATATGCCAGAGAGTCCAATAGTCGTTGAAGAAAAAATAAAGAAAAAAAAAAAAATATAAAAATTACCGAGTCGGCAAATTGAGAAAATGTTTTCTCCTCCCTAAGCCCCTTACCCTTTTATCAAATATCAAATACGTAATATTTTATATAACATATATATATAATTGTTATGTTACATATGTTATATATTATGCTATGTTATATGTTATGTTATATGTTATATGTTATATATCTTAATATATATAAATTACGTGTCACACGTTGTTTGTCCGCAATGTATTCCTAAACTACTGAACCGATTTGAATTAAATTTTGCACACTGTGTGCAGTTTTATCCAACTTGAAAGATAGGATAGTTAATATCCTCAATTTATAATCGCAATATTATTTTATTAACAAAGAGTCATGATGTATTTCTTAAGATTCTAACAGATGGCAGTATAAGGTAATTTGTTGACTTAAAGACGAATAACATATATATATATATATATATATATATATATATATATATATTATATGTTATATATTATAATATATTTTGTATATTTGTTACCAGATTTCCATCTTTTATATCTTTTTTTAAATGAATAAATAAGTAATTGAAATTATTTTTAAATTAATGTTCATACTTCATTGCAATTTAATATTTTATATTTCTAGTTATTAACACTAATATCACATAATATCTTTCATTTAACAGTATTCATCTTTCATTTATCATTATCTATCAACAGAAAGTGAGAAAGTTAATAAATTTTGTACATAAGTATCATCTGATTCTTCTCAACACCTTTCTCAGTTCTCTTTTAAATCATTTCGATCTTGGAATAGAACACAGGTGATAACGAGCGCTCATGTTCGAGATTAAAATCTAAATTGTCGCAAACCTTGTGAACGGAAGTTACATCCTAGAGATGTTTTTGTGATTTCCTTTTTATCCTATCTTCTTCTTCTTCTTCTTCTTTTTCTTCTTCTTTTTCCTTCATTTTATTATCTCATCTTTTTCTATTTACTTCTTCTACTTGTTCGTAGAATCAAATGAAAAGAAGTAGAGACAACTATCCATAACTCGAGAGATCGATTTCTTCCTGTTTTATATTTCTTGGCCTATCAAGAAATGATTTATCGTTCTAAGTTTTTTCACATCTCGAGATATCGAGATATCGAGATAGATGAAACGATTAGGATGAAAATCGTATAACTTTCATTCTCGTATAATAAACGCGTCCCGGTTAGGTCTATTGGAAATCTAAACCATCGTTTGTAATTTTTTTTGTTTCTTTTGTCTTTTTTTTTTTTTTTAGTTCATCATAAGGGTGAAAGCAAAGTAGTAACAGCAAATTTGCATCAATTACGTACTCACACAGATAAAAAAAAAATTATTGACAAAACATGTGTTCAATCTTTTAACTCACTTTTCACTCTACTTTATTAATATTATAGTTTTCATTTTATTTTATTTTTCTTTTTTTTTTTTTTTATTATTATTATAGTTATTTCCATAATTTTTTTTTTTCTCAACTTAACTCTCGTACAATTTATTATCTCTTTAAAAGTAACAAGCAAACTTTTTATAACTAACTAATGGCTAGGTAGTTCATTACAATGATGGGGCTCGGGTGTGGTTAAAATAAAAACAATTGCTAAGAAAGTATAATAAAAATAAGAAAAAAAATAAAAAATAAAAAATAATATCCAAGAAAATTAAACTTTCCTACCAAGTGAACCATAAATTTTTAACCCATGAATGTCTTTTTTTGTCGTCCTTTTTTTTTTTTCTTTTTTAAAGTAAAACTTCTTAAGTAACGTTAAAGATCAAAATTTTATGAAACTATGTATATAAAGGAAAAAAAAAAAAAACAGTGTGCACGACATCTTTTCATGGACGTTTTTTTTTTTTGCACTCTTTACATCCGTCGAACATATCCATTGGATTTTGCTTCCAATATTACCTTTAAAAGGGTTCGGTCAAAGTCGGAAAAGACGTCCTAGCACTCGGTTCGTCTTTTTAAGCTCGTATCTCCACAATGGAAATTTGACAAACCAATTTTCTGACTGTCCTATCACTTATCAAGTCCTGCACCGTATTACGCTGCATATTTTTACAGCTGCCACTTTAGTGCCATTGCCTTGTTTCAATTCTTAAAGCATTGCACGTCGAATATGCACTTTTTTTACTATCCATTTGAGAGATTAAGAAAAACGGATTAAATGTAACATTGATTACATGGAACACTTGACAGAAGACTAAACTGAATCCTCATTTATACAGTGATATCAAAAATCCGTTTGTTTCAGTGACTTATAATAAGTAAATACAAAAATTAGATTTTTACATAGCTGCATCGGAAGTGACAATATGACACTCGACCTATTATCTATTTACTATTGTATTTTTAAACCGTGAAAAAATTCATCGAGATAAGTGCTTGTAAAGAACAAAAGAAACGCTTTAGACGATACGTCGTCCGTCAACGGATTTTTCTTTCTCTATTTCTCTCTCTCTCTCATTCTCTCTCTCATTCTCTTTTTTTCGATTTAATTCTCGAGACGAAATCAATAGAAAGATCTCTCTCTCTCTCTCTCTCTCTCTCTCTTTATCTCTTTCTCTCTTTGACTGTAAGCCCTCCCACCTCATCCATCTACTTATTCCCACTTCAACGACGATTTTTTTCCTACTTTTTTTTTTTTTTTTTTTGGAAACTCGAAATTCGAAACTATCTTTCACGTTTAAATGTTAGAATAATATAAATAATAAATGATTCTTAAGAATAGAGATAGGAGTGATTTAAAAAAAAAAAGAAACAAAAAAATGAAACGCGGCGGCGAGGTAACGGAGCGGTGGGCGGCGAGGTAACGAAGCGGCGGGCGGCGATGTAACGGC